CCTTCCATTTTTTCATCACTGGCTTCAAAAGAAATGTCTTTATTTATATTTTCAGCCAGTTCTTCTGCTGATGGCTGCTCCGTGGGAGTGCCAGTTTCTTTCAGATCAGTTTCTGCTGGAACTTTGACCATTTTTGTTTCTTCTTTTCTCTCTTTCTCACTTTCCATTTTTTTATCACTGGTTTGGAAAGAAACTTCTGACTCATCTTTTCCTGGTGTCTGTTTTTCTTTTTCTAATTCTTCTTCAACAATTATTACCTCTGTCACTTCTTTCTCCATTTCCTGTTCTTGTTTTTCTTTCTCAGATTGCACTTCTTCTTTAGATCTTCTGAAGCTCGTCCTTTTTCTAAACCCAGCCCAACTCTGAGTAAAAAACTTTCTTAGAGGTGATGCAGTTTCAGCAGTTGATGGGCTTACCGGAGACTCTGCAGATTTAATCCCATTGTTTTTAATTTCTGCCTCTTTGCTTTCTGCTTCAACAGGGCTTTCTGTTACTTTCTCAGATGAGGTTTCTCGTTCCATCTCCTCAACTTGAGTTTCTTCCTCAGTCTTGTCTACAGAGGCAGTGATTTCACTTTGTGTGGCTTCTGCCACTGTCTCTGTCTTGAATTGTTTATAGTCTTCAGCTACATCACGAGACCCTTCTGCGACCTCTGGCTTTACATCCAATAGCTGAACAGGTTCAGCTTTCTCTGTTTTATCCTTTTTAACTGTAAATTTGAATCCAACTAATTTAAAAACCTTTTTAAATCCAACATCATTTGATGGAGATACACTAGGCTGATCTTCTTTTTCTTCTGATTCCAGCTGTTTATTAGAATCTTCTGGGTCTTTCTGGGTCTCATCTTCATTTGACTTGTCATTTAATTCTGGTGGGCTGGTCTTGATATTTTCAGGAGATTCCTCTTCCAGAATTAAATTTGCCGCTTTTGCTTCACCAACTGTAAAAAAAATATACAAAGATGATAAAAATTTAGAAGTGGCATAACAGTTAATTAATTCATTACATAACATTAGAGAAGTGTAATCATACCTTATTTTGTTAACCTATAATTTTTCTGCATGTACATTTCCAATCAAATGTACTAAATTTCATGTATAAATTGATTTAAGTCTCACTTCGTTTTTGAAGTGATACATTTTGTATTTATAATAGAAAAAGACAGCAATAGACATTAATCTTAAGAAAAATTCAATCCAGATTTGTTTTGTTTGCTTATCATTTTTTTTCTTGAATGTTTATTACCTCATAATTTCTTTAGCAAAGTCTCATATTTTCTACAGAAATGAAGTTCAGTTTATGTTTTTAAGACACATAGTACTCGGAACTAAGCTAGAAAGAGTTTTGTAGTATAAAATTGTCTTTGTTTAAAAAAGATTTTGAGAAGAATCAGCTTCTTAACTGATTATATGTTTTAGGAGAAAAAGCAGTGTGTCAGTAATGGAATCCATAACATAAATATGGATATTTAGAAAAATGTAATATATATGTATGTATATGGGAAGTACAAATAAAAGAGATTTTGAAGAGTATATATTGGATATATGGATAAACTATCTTATTTCTCAAGTTTTGACATATTACTCTTATTCCAAATTTTAAGAATATAGTTTAATGATAACTTCCATGAATTTTAATGCAAGCTACGTGTTATGCTTATGCACTCTTCAAAAATGATTCAAAATAAGAGCTTCAGAACTTGTGCAAGTAAAGTCAACTCCTGATATAATTCCTAAAGGAATTAAAATGCTTCTTTTCAGGCTTATATGGAAAAAAGATGGTGTGCTTTAACAAACAGAGAGGTGACTGCAAGGGCTGAAGTACCGTACTTTTTCCAAATCATTTTCAAAGAATGCCCTGTCCTAGTGTATAGGAATGGGCTCTATTTTGTGTTTATAATGAAATTGTGAAGTTGTGCAGTGTCAGAAGCAAGCCAGTGGCATGGCTTATTTTTAACTCATTGTGTAATTGTCTGTAAGTGATCAAATTGTGATTTGGTATACAATTTTTGAACGCCTACTTATTGAACAGATTATTAGTATCCTGAAATGGTATGAATTTTTTGTGTACCATTCCAGTTATATTCCAAGTTTAGGGTTGCAGGGGCACAAATCCCATAATCCCTAACCATGGGCCAAACTCAGTAACAACTAAAATGCTATAAATGACTCTATTTTATTTTAATTTAGAAAATTAAACCTCTACAGGCCTTAACATTTGAATGAACAAACCTATGCAGCATTTTCTGGACTATTGTCAAAAAAACACATTCCTCTAAAATCAGTCACGCTGGATACCATGTGGAATTTTCGGACAAGTATATATCTGAAACATTTTCAAAATATTTCTGTAATTATACTTTTCAACTTGCATGATTAAAATATTGTTTATTGTGAAATCACCATAGTCTAATTTGCAGTATCATTCAGATTAAGCAGGAACATTTTAAATATATTAATTATAAGAAATTCAGTTTATTTTGATACACACACACACACACTAAAAGCATTCTAATGATTAAATTATAACTGAATTGTTTTGCTTCATATATTTCCTCAACATGAACAAACCATAATAAAATTATAATATATGGCATTTTGCCCATCCGGCTTCCAAGTCCAGCCATTCTTGTACGAACTGGGGAGGCGGGGTGTACCTTCAAATCAGTCTTGACTCCTGGCAAACGTTTGGAGAAGTTCCTGCAGTTTTCCCTGGCAAGATTTTGGAAGTGGTTTGCATTTATATCCTTTCTAGAGCTGAGAGTATATGTCTCAGTCTTGCAGCCAACTTTGGACCTAAGGCAGGACTATATTCAAGATTCCCAGTGTCTTAAACACTACATGCACCAAACTGTCTCTCTATCACTGTATGGTATCTTTGAAATATTGTATGTATCTAGACTTTCAGAAAGCATTAAAATTATGCAGTCACTATTTGAAAGCATTACCTTCCCATGCCAAGAAGTAAAACAATAACTTGATTTGAATAACTTCCTATAAATTAACCTTTAGGAGAAATGAAAGCAGAATTAACAATTCAAAAGAGCTTTTAACAGTTGGTCATTATTTTTATTATTAAGCCACTGGTCCCCAAGCTTTTTAGTGAAAACAAAAGTGCCTGGCATCTTGTTTTTACTGAAGATCAACATTTATTTTCTTACCTGAACCAAATCCCTTTTAAAAGCTTTTGTGCTGCTTCATTTCTAATTCCCTGCACTGCAGGTTTTGCAAATTATCTTCAAAGATCTTTCAATAAATAGGCTCTATTTTTTAAATACAATGTAATGAAACATGTTAAGCATTTCCACTTGAATGCAGCTCTGGCCATGGTGATATATCAGTAATGAAAACAGGCGCTAGGTGAACATACTACATGTAAAAGTGATTTGGAGACATTAGAAATTGTTGATAGTGAAATTATGCATGTTTACATTAGTAAACACTCTACATTTCAAATGTCTTGTGGAAAAAAAAAGCTCTCATTCCAGCTCAGCTTTTACAGATGTTTTCAAGATACAAAAAACTAGATTAGTTAATCTAATAACTACTATAGGCTTAATAGCCAAGGCAGATCCAAACTTTACTCATATTGTGCATGGATGTCTATATAAAGGGAAATTAGCTTAAGAAACCTCAACTTCCTTTCTCTGGTTCATATGGTGTTTATGTTCAAGGAATAATCAGGAAATTATATATATGTAAGAATTTAAATATGCAAGCATAGTTTGAAGTTGAAAATACTTTTTAGTGAGCTGCTTTTTATTTAGAAATAACAGATTACAACATTAATGAAAACAGGATCTAAATACTGAAATACATTTCATATTTTAATCTGGTTCAGTCATCATGGCTGAAAAAAGTGAAGCTATGCTTAGTCTGTTTTCCTTTTATACACTGATTTTCCTATTTTGTGTTGGACACATCATTCCCATCCGGCAAATTGTTACTTCATGGTGCAGAATGGAAAAGGGATTATCTGATGTCCTACTTCTCATCTCTTTTCAGCAACTCTTCTGTATATAAAAGGATTAAATCTGATGCAGTCAAAGGCCACTTCCTTTGGACTGTTCATGCTAATTAACCACAGCATTCTCCCAATGGCTTTTAAAGTGTGGTTCCTTTCAATATAGATATATTGATATATATGAAATGCAAATTACTGATATTATGCGCTCTTCCCTTTTTATTTTGTCTGTTGTTCCTGTCTCTTTCTCTGCTTTAACCATTTTTTGCCCCTTTTGCCAGTTAACTGTTGATAAACTGCTGATACCTAATAAACAGCAAGCTAAATTTTTGAATTAAGTGTTAAATTTCTGAATTAAGTGTGTGCTCAGTCTGGTCCGAATAAATGGAAATGATCAGGGATGAGCCGGAGATTACCAGTTTAAGTGGAGATTACCAGTTTATTTATTGCTTTTATATCCTGCCTCTTTAGAAAAACTCAAGGCTTCGAATAATAAAACTAATAGGGAAAACAGAGTTATAATTAAACATAATTGAATTGGAACTACATTAATAAAGAGACAACCAACTATTATAATCATTTCGGCAGATACACGTTTAAATATTAATTGCTCACCTAAATAAAAATGCAAGTAGGAAAATAAAGAAAAAGGAAGCTTGATGGTCCTTGACAAAAGTTTCTAACTATGAATACAGCCACTGAAAACTCATGGTGGTAGCATTAAGTAAAAGCCAAGAGGTCTGGCACGCTAAAAAGAAGCCCAGGAAGACTTGTAACAGAAAAAGAAAAGAAATAAAAAGAAATAAAACCAAATAGTACCTAGCGATGTTGCTCGAGCAAGAGATCACATGCTTCATATAATAAATCCTAATCCCTGAGTTGGTCTATTTGGCCAAGGAAACAAACAAACCAGAAGAATGATGTCAATTTCTCCCACTCCAATGATATATTTCATGGCTAACAGACTCTTCAAACAACTAAACCAACAACTCTATAAACGTACATCACCCAAACGAGTCCACAGAAATTAGTATTGATAAAAGGAGATGGAATAACTCAGTTATAACAGCAAAGGTGTGGCCAAAGGCTGAATGTGGGATGTGTTCACAAACTGCCCGTGTTCAAATTCCAAGTCAAGCTAAAGTGGGAGAAAGCCAGTTTCCATGGTATGACTTTGATCATATATCCCGACCATTTTCAAGGAGAACATCAAAAAATTGTTTTGAAGTCCTGAACCTCCTTGATAGGGAATCAGAGGAACTATGGAATGAACTTAAGAATTTCTTAAGATTAATATGAAAAGAGGCTGCCAAAGGCGTAGGAATAGAAAAACTAAACTGGACATAAGAACAAAGAGTGGAAATTGACATGATGGGAAACCAAAGCCCCAAACACTCAAAGATCACAAGAAGGAACTTAAAAAAAAGAATTTCATACTTGTTAGAACAAGCAAGAAATAGTACTGCCATGATATCTCAACAGTTATCAAAGATGAAAAAGAATGGGGTGGGGGTGGGGAATGAGGAAAGTTTTCCAAAAGATCTCTGAAGTAAAAAGGTAATCCAACTTTGAATATGTATGCAAAACAACATCAATGATAGCTATTAAATCGTTCAGACATGATTTCACAACTAGAGGAATAAACCTGTAGTGTGCTGCTGTCAAGAGGACGCGGCTAAGACACTGAACTTATCAATCAGAAAGGTCGGCAGGTCAAACCCCTAGTGCTGTGTAACGGAGTGAGTTCCTGTTACTTGTCCCAGCTTCTGCAACCTAGCAGTTCGAAAGCATGTAAAAATGAAAGTAGAAAAATAGGAACCACTTTGGTGGGAAGATGATAGTGTTCCATGCGCCTTCATTTAATCATGCCGGCCACATGACCGCAGAGACATCTTCGGACAGTGCTGGCTCTTCAGCTTTGTAACGGAGATGAGCACCACCCCCTAGAGTTGGAAACAACTAGCACATATGTGGGAG